CCGGGCCCGTCTCCTGCTGCCCACCGGTACCTGCTGGGCCGCAGTCGGACGGGGAGGGCCAGGCGCGCCCACGCTTTCCCTGGTGATGGTTTTGTGCCCTTTTGCTTATGGGCTTCCTTTTTTTTCTTAGCAGAATCTGTTAGCTGGACACGAGAGAAACTTGTAAATAGTTTAGAGTCCCAGAGAGTCTAATTTCTTTGGAAATTACATTTTCACAGGAAAAATAAAGTGACAGAGCTCCGGAACTGTTGCGGAGGTGAACGAACTGCGGCTTGCACCGTCACTTTGCCGAAATGCTTTTTATCTCATGCAGTGAAACTCATTCAGCAACTCGTGTTTCTGCTGTCGTGAGCAACAACGCGGTGGGGAGCACGCTCGCTCCCCTTGCGTGGGCACGTTGTCCCACTGAGACAGTGAAAGAGTCCTTCGGCGAATTATGGTGGTTTGAAGTTAGAAGAGTTCATGCATCTTGAAACGGTGGCAGTACCTTTTGCTTCCCTCCAACCTGGAAGTGCCCTGATACTGCATCAAGTTTGTGTTCCTCTTCGGCAGACAAAATCTGTTGCTCTGGCAGTCACCTTGGGATCCCCTGTAGTTTCCAAAGAGGTGGGAGGCTTTGGTTGTTTGTTTTTGTTTTTTAGTTTCAGCTAATTAGGACTAGCTGTTTTAGTGGCTTATTAGATTATCAGAAATCTCTGCCTTACTGGGGCAGTGCTGTGTGGTTTGGATGTGTGCTCCGCTTACGAATTACGTGTCTTGGTTCTGCTATTGTTAGAATAGGGAGTGAAGGAAAAAAAAAAATCCCACAGCTTTGGATTTCGTGCCAGATACTCAGCAAAGCGTTCGTTCCGTGTATCGCTGTACTGGGGCTCGAGAAGCAGCGGGGCTGCTCTGCGCTCGGTGGCTCTGCTGGCGAGCTGCGGTGCGGGGCTCCCCGCCGTCCCGGGCGATGCCGGGGAGCTGGCAGGCGTCCTCGGCGTGGGGCTGCGCGGGCGCGGAACGCTGCTCGCCCGTGTGTCCCGCTGTCTTTGGGGAGCTGGTTTAGGCTGTGGCCCCTCTGGGGACGGGGGCTGCGAGGGACGCGTCCCTGGCTGCAGACCCCGCTGCGCTGCCGAAGCATCTGTGAATACGTGAGGGAACGTGGTCGCGTTGTGTTCGCAGGACAGTTTCACCGAAAAGGCTGCTGGTTTGAGGGCTTGGGGTTGGTCTTTTTCACCAGTACTGCTTTCTCGTGTTAGAAGAGCTCTTTGGAGAGCCGATGAAAATCGGTCCCCTTGCTCTCCAGACTCTGGCGCATCGGCTCTTTTTCTGTGGCCTGCAACTCCGTTTCACACAGCTTTATGCTCTTGTTACGAGAGGAAGCCTGAGGCG